CCCTGCTCTCCTCTAGGTTTCCCCTCCCCAGTTTGCCTTTTCTGTCCAGTAGTTTTGCCCCCCATCCCCAGCCCCTGGTTTTCTGACTCTTGCTCCTGCCCTCTGTCCCTAACCCCCTCACACCTGTGCTCACACTCCCTCCCCTGCAGCACTGGCCCCTGGCCCGGATCTTGCTGTGCTCACTGTGCTCTGCCTCTCTGGGATACCAGTGTATTTCCCCAACCCCCATCTTCTCTCACCCTATTGTGATTGATTTCACTGGTTGCCCCATTCATTCTAATGAGCTCTCTCTCCCATTCTTGACCTTGCTGCCCTCTCCGCACACTCCCTCTGCGTCTGGCCCCTCTGGCTCTCCCTCTGCCCGCTCCCTTGCAGCACTGGCTCCAGTTCCCTCTCCACTCACTTGAGGCCTCCCCGTCCCTGAGCATCTCTCTCCTCCTCAGCCTGACCAGCGCATCTCTCTTTCCTCTTCATCTTCATCCTTGCTCTCTCTCTCTCCCTCCTCCACACTGCCTCGCAGGCCTGTACCCTCTGCTCTGGCTTATGCTTTTGATAGCTACAGCTGTCTTTCCAGTGTGCTCTCTCTCTCTCACTCTCTCATTTGCTCTTTCTCTCTCTCTGGCTGTCTCTCAATCACTCATGCAAAAGACAGAGGAGGGCAGGACAGACCCCAGCTAAAGGATTAGGGAATTAATCGATTTTAAGTGTATAATTCAGTATCACTAACTATGCTGACAATGGTGTGTAACCAGTTTTTACTACCTATTTCTAGAACTTTCTCATCACCTGAAACAGAAACTCTGTGACCATTAAGCAGGAACTCCTTGTTCCCCCTTGTTCCCCTGCCTAGTCCCTGGTAGCCTCTAATCCACTTCTGTCTCCATGAATTTGCCTAGTCTAGATATCTCGTATAACTGTATACTATTTGTTCTTTTGTGCCTGGCTTATTCTACTTAGCATAATGTTGTCAAGGTTCATCCATGTTGCATTATCAAAATTCATTCCTTTTAATGGCTGAATACTATTCCATTCATTGTGCTTATCCGTTTGTCCACTGAGGGACATTGGGTTCCTTATACCTGTAGACCATTATGAATGTTACGATGAACAAGGCATAGATCTAAGGCCTTGCTTTCAATTCTTTTGGGTATCTACATAGCAGTGAAATTGCCAGATCCTGTGTGTGGACATGTGACTATCTGGCTGTCTCTGCACTTGTTGAAATTCTCTTGTTCTTGGGCTCACAGTCCCTTAAGCCACTCAGTGTGGTCTCTGAACCCTCCGTGATCTGACCTTCCTGGCCTCATTTTTTTCACTGTTTTTCCACACTTCACTCTCACTGGGCTTAGCATCATCCCAAACAACATGAGGCTGTGGACACCTTGCTGCTTTCTGCCTCTCTGGCTTCTTCGTGCATTCCCTTTCCCTGAAATACCTTCCTTCCATTTTCACTTGACCAACTTAGATCTTCAGAACAACTTGAGTTTCCCCCATGAACACACACCGAATGCAACTTGCTCTAACTCTTCTTCTCTTACATCAGATGTGAAGTCCCAATTTCTTCCTTTAAGACATCCAGTTGGACGGCTGCTCCCACACCTTGCTCTTACCTCTTTTTCTTTCTTGGCACTTATGATGCAATCTTATAAGAAAGTTGTATGCTTGAGGGTCTATTTTCTCCACTGGACTCTGA